TGATTGTCTCGAGTGCCTACTCAAAACTTAAAATAAGATTTTTCATATCTAAGTAGAGTTTCGAGACTACCAGTAAATTATTAGTATGAGATGTATTCACCCTATTTCGTGTAACGTGATGAAGGAATGGTAGAAAAATTTTCCCACAATGATGTGAATATATCTGACTTTTCCATTGAATTTCACATATCTTTGCTTTCCAAAAAGTTGTTCTCATCCAGGTTAGACTGCAGTTCCTATGCGAGGTTGAAACTGCAGTCCACTTGTGTCTGGATGAGAACAACTTTTGGGGAAGCAAGGCTCTGTGCAATTCAATGGGAACGTCAGTTCTACTCATATCATTATGGGAAAATTCTACTACTAGTCCTTCCTCATCTGAAACGAAATAGGTTGAATACATCGCAAAATAAGATGTTAAGCTTTCCTCCGACATACAACAAGTTGACTCAGAGCCGTTTGGCTCTTCTGTAGACAAATTCAAGCCGACGACAACCGAGCAAAAGTGTCCGCAAGAAGAGGGACAAGCGACGAGTTACCGGAATGCAGGTAGCTCAATCCACTGGCCAGGCTGGTGCTCATCTTGAGGACGATTGAGGTGATGCAGGCCTCGACTCCGGCATCATCCCGTCCCTCGGTCGACAGAGAAGCCCGCCTCAAGACGCCGGGTTTCGGGCTTCGGCCCACTTGTCGCCAACATGTACTGCCGAAGACGTCTCGCAGGCTGCCCCACGCGTGCAGTTCGCCCAGAACCAGACCAACGCCGAACCCTCCGCCCGAGCTCGACGACAGTCCACGGGTCTCCGCGAATCCGGCCAACTGTGCCTGCATGAGACCGGCCCAGGCCGATGATGCCGTCGATTTTTGTGGAATACCATTTCTACCGGTCGGCCTTGACGACCGGCCCGGTAACAGGAACCAGTCGGCTGCTGTGATGCCATGCACGCCGGAGTGACGCAACAGAACGAGTCGATGCAGTCGGACGGTCCGTGACCAGACGGCGTCTGAGAGTTGACAACCTCCGGTGCCACCGGACGCCGGTGTCGACCGCGGCTGACCTTTTCGGGCTCCGAGGTCACCGTCGATGGGGGTACCGGCTTCGCCGATTGAATCGGCTCCGCCGGTTGTGATTGTTGTCATGGCCGTCGTGGCGGTTGTCGTTGTCGTCAAGCCAAAGCATCGTTTTGTGGAGGCAAATCTTCGCGAGGCAGTGCTGGCGGTTCGGTTAGTCGCAGAGCCTTCCAGACTGGTCGTCTGAGAGGCGGACGGAGGCGCCTTGACGACTGGCCTCAAACGGTCGCGGAAAACCGGCGCCCCGGACGACTGGTCCAGGGGTTCTGTGGCGCGGACAGGCACGGAGAGGTTGTTGGTGAAGTAGAGCTTGGCACACACCAATTCGCCCTGCCATTCGGCTATAGGAAAGAGAATGCATAGTTACACGATGAGACACAATTCGGGCAAATTTATTCATAATTAATACAAAAAAAGCTGACACTGGAGTGTGATTCGACTGAGGAATGAAGAAAAACTGGCCTTTTAAGACTCCCTTGATAGATTTACGTTGGCAAAACTATCATTAAAAAAAAGATGGATAAAAGGGATTCATAAATTGTCCACATTGGATACCGAAGGCGTCCTGCTCAGCTCATGTCCATCACATGACGGACGAAAGCTCGGTACAGATTCATCGGATGGGTCGAAGGACGGTGAATCGAGCTCATCTTTGTACAATCTAACAGTCACTATATTCCAAAAAAATTAATCTTCGGTAATTTGAGAAACCCTGACAACCGCATTTTCAGATGAAATAAATAGTATATCATCGATGGATTCGACGAAGCATTGTGAAGGAAAAGTTGCTTGGAATGAATTCGACGAGAAAGTCATCGGCCAACGGTCCTGCAGCCACAATGGATGTAAGCTGAACCTTCGACTGTACCACTCTGGCAGACATTGTCAGATGGAGAAGGTAGATTTTACGAATAACCGCAACCACATACTAAACAAATCTTTCTGCGGCAAAGTCTCTAATTGCTTTCGAACCACTATTTCTTCAGAATGAAATGTCTGTATCCTTATTTTATTCAGTGTTTCAATAGCATCTCTTTCCTAAAGTCTATAAATCAAGCAAAATTGATCCCTACCTATTTTCCCACATCCATTCCTTACATTATACCCATTCCCCAACGGATCCATTCTGATAGCCTCTCCTAGCATGAGCTGAGCAGCAGATGTACCAATCAGATAAAATAGAGTACCTATTCAGCTGAATCTACAGAAGTTGCTCAAATTAAAAGTGTAGCCGCTAGAGGGGATTTAGAAATGAGGTGAGCAGGCTTTACGATGCAAACGGAAATCGAAACGAGTAGTGAAGCAGATATTTTCGACATTTTAGCATAACGCTGTATCTACGTCAGTGTAAGTTGTTCATATGGCACGGACGGCGTCATGCTGGCCTTACTTGTACTTGTGAGATAACCTCCTCAATCCGATTAAAGCAAAAATCTCGATTTGTAAGAATCCCTAAATGGTTTTTTTTATTTCATCAGAGGTTTTTAAGACTTCCAGTTGTGTGAAAATTCAACTACAACGAAATGGAGGGATTACAGCTTTTATATGAAATCTATCGGAAGTCTCGAAAATGCCTCTGAGAAAACGAAAAATAAGTAATGAAATAGACTGCTGCAGCAAATACAACTGTGCTTCAATATCAATCTCAAAACAAAATGTGATACGGAAAAATGCCTAAGATTCCTTGAAATGCACATCCAACTTATGAGCCAAAGATATTTGTGGTAGTGTGGCGAAATTAGCTGAATACTGAGCTTTCTCCTTCAGTTTGTGTGACTCGACTTTCCATTTCTATGAAAGAGTTGATCAGAAAAAATTGTACATTTGGTGCGACTGGAAACCGAACAAAGCTTGTCACAAAGTGAGGCTGTTGGATCGTTTGAAGATACCCTCAGCTCACCCTCCTGCGACTCTGATGAAGCTGTGTTAAGACTTCATATTTCATGTGAAATGCATCGTCAGACCGAAAAACCATACTTCACTCGCTTCTATCATATTTTTACCATACCCATCATGAATTAACTACACCCATCTGCAAGTATGTGTGGTTTGCGTGAATCAACCAAACACATCATGAGATGAGACATTAAAATCGCAAAATTATGTATAAAAAGTGAGTAGCTTTACAGCTGATCACATTTTTTCATGCTTAATTATATTGATGCGCTCTTACATAAAGTATGCTTTCTCGCTCTGAGGATGTCAATCACGGTGGTACAGACAAAATCCTTGCTTTTTTTCATCGGAGTTGGAGGACGGCGAGCCAAGGAATATTTTTACAAACCTCACTATTCTAAACGACCTTTTATTTTCAATGAGAGCATTCCAAGAATTCCTGTCAACTAATTTTTCTTTCGAAATGTAGAGCCAGAGAATACAAAAGTATTGAAGGACGCTTTAAAGCCCAGCCATACTTTGCATAAAAGAAGGCTACTCAACTGATTTATTTAATGATGGCTCTTACCACATCCACAGTTGTTAAACAAGCCTGTTCAACTCATCAACATAGCAATCCCGATCATACCTTAGGTGTGATCCTTAAAACTTGG